CTGAAGGAAGTTATACCTGCAATTTCTGAACCAAAGAGATATGCATATGGGTCAATGTCTCAGAACATGAATAAATGCAAAAGGATTGAATTGACCTCCATGGTTATTTGTGTTACAATCCATGGGGCATGGGGCCTATAACCAGTGAGGGCTGCTACATGTAGCCAAGGACAGATGAGGTCACAGGGCCCTAGATACATGTGTGTCTCTAGGGTCACTCTTTTACAAAAGATATCCTCCTACAAATACAAGGAGCCCTGTGCTCACCAACCTGACTGGTATTGCTGTTCAGATTTTTAGCAGTTGAGAGGCTCATTCAACAAGGTCCAGTAATAGTCATTCATCCATCTATTTGTGAAGCATTCACAATGTGACAGTCACTATACTCTACTTTTCCCTTAAAGAACCTAAGACCCAGTGGAGAAAAAGATAAGTAAACTGCAGTGCAAAGAGATAAGAGTAGGGTCTAAGACAATGTCTCAAAATAAAAAATGAAACAGGACTGGGGTGGTCAGTGGTAAAGCACCCTTGGGTTCAATCCCCAGTTCCCCCCCCCCAAAAAAAAGTGAAATAACAATAAATTTTTCTTTCAATATGTGTGTGTGTGTGTGTGTGTATGTGTGTGTGTGTGTATGTGTGTGTTTTCAAACAACTGAGGTCAGGGGACAAAAAAAAAAGTCAGTGTAAATAATAAATAATCAGGTCCCATCAGGGAGATGGAGGCTGGTTCCAAAGGAGAGGAAATCAAATGCTAATACCTCCAGAGCCCTTCCCCCTCCTCATCCACCTGTTGCCAAGGTTACCTACCTACAGGGAATTGTTTCCTCCAATAAGTTGTTAATGAAGTTCCTCTGGGCAGCTCCTTTCCTGCCAGTTTGGGCAAACACTGAGAGACACCCCTGAAAGGCTTCTTTCCCACCTTTTGGTTGGTCCCTGATAAGGGGAGAAAGGAAGGCCTAAGAACATAGGAAATCTAAAATGTGTAAAAGGGGCAAGACACCCCACTCTTTCAGACATGCAGTTCTGGGACCCCTTCTCTGTGGAGAAGTCTACCTCTGTTCTATCCTTCAAATTAAACTTGTTTACTACACCTGCCTCGACATTTCTCTGGAGTTCAATCTTCACATCTGGGGACACGGAACTCGACCCTGATTGATTCTCATCACCGGCATCACAACCACTAAGGCGTCAGGACATAAAGATTTTATAAGCAGAAAGGTCAGGAATTCCATCTGGCCTCCAGGGTCCATAAAAATATTACTAAGATGTCAAGGGTACCAAGAAGTGAGAAAATGCAGGACCCTTGGCCGGAGACCAGAGGATGTAGTGTTTAGGGTGACACAAAACACGTTGATATGCGTGACCGAGAGGCGGGGACCAGGGAAAGAAAATGCTGGAAAGAGGTGAATCAGATCGAGAGAGCCAGAGCACAGTCAAGGATCTGGGCTTCACCCTGAGGCCAGCAGGAGCCATGGAGGGATTAAAGTCCCCTGCTGCAGGAAGAGCAGCGTCACCTGACTTCCACTGCACCTTCTGCCATCTCAGAGCCCCTGGGTCTCCCAACCCCCCATGGATACCACACCGAGGTAGACGCAGGCCTTGTAAGATCTCTAGGGAATGGCCTGCGACTGCACCCAATCCTACAAACCCATGGGAAAGCACCGTAAAGTGTAAAATGCAAAATGCTCTACTTCATAAATTCCGGTCACCGTGATCCAGCATGGACATACGTGTCACGTTCCCACCAGTCATCCTACAGCCAGGATAGGCCACACCTTCACCATGGCCCGGCAGGCTGCTCATGCCTCCTTTCCACATCATGGCCAAAGCTCCTTCCAGGCAGCGCTTTCTGGGCAAGCTCAGTCTTAAATCCTCAGAACCACTTTTGGAAATGAAGAGAGAGTGGTATCTCGCGACATCTGAACTATGTCGCCTCCTGATATGGGGGATTCACTCAGCGTGCAGGAATGACTTAGCTAATCCTTTCAGGCATTAAGACTTCTGAGAATACTGACCGGTCTTTTCTGTGTATATGCGACAATAATAAAAATTTAAAAGAAACCTGAAAACATAGTTCTTCAAGTATTTTATTTACATGAATGTGTTTTCCCTGTAAATACGCTATGTTGAAGAGGAATTTCTTACTCAGCACAGAAAAGCTTTTATCCATCTACAGTTGCACTGATTCCATCATTCAATGTGGTTTAGTGGGCCCAATGTAACAGTCTTGAAGGACGGTGGAGCCTTACCAGGTAGAGCCCGATGGGAGGTGATGGGGCCATTGGGGTCACCACCCCTGGAAAAAATCAATGCACATCTTACGGGAGTTGATTTGGTGTCTTGGACTGGACTGGTTTCCATGAGAAAGGGTCACTATAAAGTGGGTTTGGTTATCTCAGCTGCCGTCTTGCTTCCTCTCTTACCCTGTGACTCTCTCTCATTCCATCTGTCTCTGTCTGTGTGTGTGTGTCCTCTCATCCATGTTCTTTGTCATGTGCCAGCCTTCACCCTGTTGGAGAACTGCCTTTCCACCTTCAGATGAACAGCCATGAGCCCTCACCACAAACTAAGCTGAGGCTGGCACCATCCTCTTGAATTTCTCTGCCTCCAAGGAGTGAGCCAAAAGTAACCAGACTCAGGTATTTTGTTATAGCAACTGAAAGCAGACTAAGACATCACCTGATTTATCTGGTAGTTTCAAAAAAGTGAAAACAAAACAAAACAAAAACCAGCTGTGTATTAGATCACTGCAAATCATTACATCTCAGAAGAAGAGCTAAAAGGAGAGAAATGTGCTCACTTGTATCTCAGGCTTGTTCTCTTTTATTGGACAGAAAACAATCAGGGGATCAGTCCTAAGATCTCTCCCTAAAATACCTACAGCTCCAAAAACTGCAGCAAGTAAAGTCAGGCCTTACATGAAGGGTTCACTCCATTCCTCACAAGTCCCTGAGGAGTGGGTTTTCCTGGAGCAATACACAGGATAGCTTCTCTATGCCACTCCGTCTTCTCTAAGAAGAGGACTGGTACATCTGATTGGCAGGTCTGTGTCAAAGACCCAGGAAGGCTCAGCAGGCCCTGCTTTCCTATTCTTTCAGGTCTGTCTGCCTAGAGACAGCATGTCCCACATGCCCCAGGGAGAGGACATGGTCTCATTCAATATGCTGCTAAGTCTAATTTGGGTGAGGAAATACAGCTACCTGTTTGAGACACATTCTCCAAATGCTTTGAACATAAGTGTATTTTGATCTCTTTCTGCTCTGTCCCTGCATGTGTCTCTCAATCCGTTTCCCCTACAGCCATGGAAGAGAGGGATATTACATATTGATCCTAAAAATTTCAGTGGTAGAAAGAAGCTTAAGCACCAAGTCACTTAGTGGAGAAGTAATTTCCACAAATCACAGACCACGGGCTGTCTATGAGTATCTCTGGGACAGGCATCATGTGCAAGGTACTATGAGAGGTGACACCTGGGGACACCTGGTGAAGACAACAGTCAGCCTCTGCTTACATGCCATTCATAGTCCATCAGGAGGACCCTCAATTGTCAGGTCAAGGGTTTAGCTACAAGTGGGACGAGTATGGAGTCCCGGGAGAGATGTATTGAGATCTTCTGACTTAGTAAATGGCCCTACCAGGTGGGTCAGCCCGAGACAGGGGGACCATCCCTTACTACACAGCCTCCCGTGCTCCAGAACTGCACCCCAGCTAGTTCATTGCCAAGTCCCAGATATTTCACTCCCCTCCTCACCTCCCAGAGCAGATGGATCCTCTCCACCCCCACCAGCATTCCCACACTCCCAGCTCCAACCTGGTTTCCCCTCTACTGATCCAACTCTCCTTCATCTGATTTTTAATTTTTTTCCTTAATTGTGACAAAATACACATAAATGGTAAGCGTTGGTTAAGTGCACTTGGTGACATTAAGCACCTTCATGCTGTTGTACAGCCATCACCACCATCCACCTCCAGAAAACTAGGAACCCATTAAGCCACTCCCCAGCTCCTCTTCCCCAGCTCCTGGTGACCACTATTCCACATTCTGTCTCAACCTGCATCACCCTTGTCCCCAAGCCATTCTTGACGCAGTGGACCCTGTCCCAAATACCCATCTCACCATGGTGCCCTCCATGGGAAATACCTCGGTGGCTTGAATTTATCACAGAGACAAGACTTAGGGCCCAGGGCTTCCATAATCTCTGCCTGATTCAGTCCTATTCAGACTTCAGATAAGCAGATAAGGGACCATGGCCCTCAAACTCAGGGAACTCTTCCCCAATGTCCCCAACATGTCCCCTTTGTTGGTTAAGGGCAAACACAGAATGCCAAATCTCTTAGTGGAGGGTAAAAAGGGAGGGACACAATCTCCCTCAGACAGGAGGGCCAGCACCTAAAATCCCTGGGGAAAGGAAGGCTTTGATGTGATTCAAAAAACCGGAAAACAAATGAACAACAATGACACAAAACCAAACAAAGGCCGATGCGCATGGAGCAGAGCGAAGAGGGAGGGGAACTGGACCTATTGGCCATGGCCAACATCTCATCCACGCAAGTTCTACCTTACCTTGGAGGGACCTATCAGAAGAATTGCCTCTACACAGCATTCTAAGACCACTTCCTCAGGCAAGGAGCAAATGACCCTTCCTTTATCTGCACCACCTCAATTTGCTCAGTCACTCTCTGCAGTGGACATTCCTCCCAATGTCATGAACATCATATTAAAGTTAAGTTAAATAATTGACCCACAGCCATTCAGCAGATAAGTCAAAGGGTTTGGACAAAGATCTGTCCCCCAAATCTGTATTTTCACCAAACTGTGACTCTTGTTTAAGCTTGAAGATTTTTTTTAAATGTATATTTAGATTTTTGTTCCAAAAGACAGTTCTATATTTTTATGCGGCACAGATACTAGCAGTACAAGTTGTAGGGTGATATTTTGGTAACAAAGGATATTTTTGCACAAAACATCACAAAGTGGCTGATGCGGATTCACGGCTCACCAAGGGGGCTGCTGCCAAGATGTGGGTCCCTGCTCCAGAGCTTCCCCTGAAGGGCAGGTTCTGGAGATGGACCTGGGAAAACAGGAGGCCACCAGTCAGTCACAGGTGGGAGAACCCTCTGAAGGACATCAACAGCCACCCAAATTCCTCTGCACATGAGGGGTGCGTCCAGCAGGTTAAACTGATAATCCCTACGTTGTTGATTCAACGTGAGGAAAAGAAATAGCAAGGTAAAAAGGTTTTATAACAGCCATGAAAGAGATTTAAGAATGGCTTACATCACAAGGTTATGTGGAAAGTCAAAATACGTTATCAAAGACCAAGTCGAAATGCATTATCAAAGATCACAAAATTAAAAGATAAAGTCTGCAATACTATGAGACATGAATACTGGAAGCCCATTTTATTAATTCCCATCAAGACTGTAATTCCCCTTGAACAGGGGATTATAAACTTTTCCAAAAATGTCCAAACACTAAATATTTTAGACTTTGTGGGCCACGTATTCTCTGTTGCAATGACTCCGTACCTTGACAGAAGCCTCAGACGATACATAAACAAGGGGGACAGCTGTGTGCTAATAAAACTTTACATGGAGAGCCAGATTGGACCCACAGGCCAGCATTTGCCAACCTGTCTTTAAAGGTCAAGAACAAGTCTTCTCATATCCTTCAAGCCTTAAACTAGAACTTGCAGAGCACACACTGAGGAAATTTTAAAACTGTTTTGTTCAGTCTTATTTAATTTTCACAAACCTGTACTCTATAAAACAAATCTTATTTATCCTACTTTTACAAAAGAAGAAACTGAGGCTCAGGAAGTATGAACATTTGCCAGGGCCCCAAAGCTTACAATGGCAAAGCCAGAATTCAAATCCTGGGGCGCTAAGCGTTTCATATCAAGTGCTCTCCCCATACCACGGGCCTAGCTGCATAAGGGTAGAGAGAGAGCCCTCTGTGAGAAGATGGGCGAACATGATGGGGTGACTCTCAAGATGTAAGAGGTCCAAATGCAGCTCAGGCTGTATCTTATGGAAGCAAAGAACAGAGGCTCAAACTGGTCCCCCCCAAAAGCACAGTTCACTGCAGATGCCAGAGACTACAGTAAAAGAGCACTTTGATTCTTGTAGGAAATGGAAATCCCAGAGAAGTCAAGGCAGGTATCTGTCCACCCCTAGCCGCCTCCTTCCAGCTAGTCTGCAGAATCCTCCCCCCTTGTCTGCAGAATCCTCCCTTTCCTGTCATCTGCCATCTTCTCCACTCCAGGGACCTGCATTAGGTCTCTAGTTCACATGAGAACAAGGACACCTGCAGAGTTGTACCTCCACCCTGAGTGAGCCCCTCCTGCTCTGGACCCACAGCTTTGCTCTGTGTCTCTGTCTAAATTGTAGCAGTGAAGAATCTAGTTTGTCACAGGCCTGCACAGGGAACCTCTAAGTATGGGTCACAGGGGCAGTCCCACACCACACAGCAATGACAAAAGAGGGAAGGGTCCTGTGGCACCAAGCACACTGAGATGCCACAAACAAAATAGTGTGTAGAGAGGCAGGCATGCACATCACCATGTCTAATATCAAAACAGGGAAATCAGTTTTGGCTTCTGTCATCTGAGGGCTACCATAGACAGATCAGAGGAGCACACAGCCAGCCGGAATCCAGAACGCACTGCAAAAATCCACTTTGAAGAAGTGAGATGTGTTTACACAATTCAGGGAGAATCTGGAGGACTGGGAGTGAGACCAAATCAGATGATAAAAATAACCATATGGATGAGGATCACAATGTGCAAAATTTTAAAAATACAATGGTGGGGGGGGGTCTTCTTATTTTATTAAAAAAAAGGATACTGCTTGAATGGTTGTCAAAAGCTACTTTTTGTTTCTCTTGGAGGCAAACTGTGAGAAGCAGGGGCCTTCTGTGTGACTTAAAGTTGATCATAAGTTCCAATGGGAGCTGCTAGTGGGTACGATAAAATGCATGAATCAACATGGGTAATGCAATATAAGTCATCACCCCAACAAGTACATAAGACATCTGGAGATCGAGGGGTGACTGATATCACAAAGACGTCTTCACTTTAGATAAGATTTTCACTATGGAGATGTAGGAGACTTCATCATTGTCTTGATTCCTTGGTCCCAAAGATCCATAAGAGATGAGAAGATGAATCTGCGTTCAAGTTCTATTTTTAGCACCAGCACTAAAACCAGTTCATTCTCTTGGCTGCATCTCCAAGTTGACCCAGATCTCTCTGCGTCTCCTAATGGCATGCTGAGATCTGAGGAGAGGGTGGTTATTGTGATACATTCTCCACAAATCTGAGCCCAGGGCACTAGAAAATAGACCCTCCCACGCTACTGTGAGAAAGAAGCACCTGTGTGATGGTTTTACCTCCCAGTGGTCAAGACATCCTTGAGGGAACAGAGGTGACATCCCCTCCCAAATGTTTTTCTCGATGTTCTTCCAACAAGAGTGTGTCACTACAAGAACAGCACGAATACTTCAGAGCAGCAATTCTGAACCCTGAGTACACAGCAGAATTATCCTCAGCACTTGGAATAAAAAACAAACAAACAATAACAAAAAAAAAGCTTTCCAGGTCCCTAATTTCAAAACCCCAACTAAGTGAACTCGGTGCATTTGGATGGGGACCCCAGAATCAGCCATATACAGAACTGTTCAGTTGGTTCTTTCATATAGTCCGTGTTAAGAACCACTGGTTTAGGATGAAACCCCAGCAAGGATAGACAGGCACCCCTGGCAAGGAGAAGAAGCAGAGGGGCAGGGATCTCCATGGGCCAATGATCTAAGTTTGGAACCCTATGCACTGCAAGAAGTAGACTACGTTACATAGGAGCAGGTGACGCATGATATCCCAAGATCAGGAGGAGGGGGCTGCATTCGGAGCCCACTAGGAGGTTGGAAGTGGAGCTTTGTTCTGGTATTAGGTGCAGGGAAAACTAAAAGGACTCCGAGTTTCTTTGAGTCCATAAAAAAAATTCTAAAATTGAAAAATAGAATTCCCTGAGGCTTTGAATGGTGAATCCCACCTAAACCCTCTTATGGGGAAAAAAAATTCAGGACAATGTTCATAGGAAATGTGACACAAGATTCCGAGAGTTCTACTATGTGCTTTCCCTTATAGGTGGTAGCCTGATGTGCTTACCTGTCTCTTAGTTATCAGAGTTCACAAGCCACATTGGGTACCTGTTGTACTAGCACCTGGGAGGCTGAGGCAGGAGGATCAGCCCAGGAGTCTGAAACCAGCCTCAAAAATAGAAATGAACAAACAACAACAAATTAAAAAGAAAAAAAGGAATTTGTTCTCTTTGTTCTCCAAATACTTCTAGGATGTTTTAAAAATAAACTCCTTTGCTAAAGTAACTTTTCAAACAATCTGGAAGCATTTCCTTAGCATACAAGTGGGCATTCACCTCTATCTAGAACACTTGTTTCTTAAGGTCTCACATCGTTAAGTATCAATTCCACAAAGGTTTTTGCCCCAATATCACCTGCTCTGCCACACCGTCTCTTACCACACACCATGACCCATTTCTCTGTATTATACTTTTTAACTTCATATTGGTCTCCCTCTTTCAAATGAAGTCTGAGAACAAGGCAACTTTGCTCAATGTCAGCCGTATTTCTGGAATCTACAACAGTACCTGACAAAGCACTCAAATATACAGTCACGCTATAAGACACAGGGTGCATGGGTCAAACGTGTACCCCAAAAGTTACATGATGAAGTCCCAACCCCCAGTACCTTGGAAGTGGTGGCCTGATTTGGAAACAGCATTGTGGTAGATGTAATTAAGAAACAGGAGCACGGTGGGCCCTACTCCAATGTAACTGAGGTTCTTACACAAAGAGGAAACTTGGATGGAGAGACAGACACAGTCATAAAAGAAGACCATGTGCAGATGGCACTTGTGTGCTGAGGAATGGTCAGTCAGAAGTCAGGAGGGAAGCCTGGAAACAAGGTCTTCTTGGAGGGAGCATGGCTTTTCCAATACCTAGATTTTGGACTTCCACCCTCCTGAAGACAATGAATTTTTATTGTTGAGAACAGTCTGTGGTACTCTGTTGTGAGAGTTGCAGAAAACCAATATATGGGGCTTCAAATTGAGGAAATTTGAAAGCTGTTCTTTATTCTGATTTGGGTCACCCAAAGCAATATACCTGCAGGCCCAATACCCAGTCTTAAAAGTTGAGTCCACATGGAGTCCCGGAAGATGGATAAAGTGCAGCAAATGCTGGTAGTAAGTGGAGAGGTAAGTGAGATGGACAATTCCAGAGATCGTGCTCAGATGAATGCAGAGGTGCAGGTGTGTTTACACCACAGCCCATCCATGATGTCTTTCCTGGACCTTCCCAATTCCAGAACTGAGATGGGAGGGCACGGGAGACCTTCGATGCACACATCCTTAAGGCTCTACTTGTACAATGACTACTGGCAAAGAGCAGATCTCACTCCATCCACATCAAACTTTCGGAAAGGTCATCAAAACCATCCCAACAGTTCTGCCATTCTCCTGGTCTCCCATGAACAGACAGACTGCTGGCTTTTGGAAAGGGTGAAGCCGCCCATGAGTGTGAAAGCTGCAGATTGTTCCTGTGTCTCGCAAAGAGAATCCTGAACGTTCAGATGTCTCGTTGAGACATTACCCAGAAGGCATATCATTATTTCAACTCAGATGTCTTCTCAGAATATACCCCCCTTGTCATCTGCTTTCCCAAAAAGAAAAAAAAAATAACTGTAAAGATGATGTTGTTGGAAATGTCATCTGTCTGTTAAGCAGAAGTGAAATCAAAGTGCTCTTTGTGCTAAATGTGACTATCATGGCACTTGAAACCCAGAGTGTCAATGTTCCTAATACCCTTTGCAATCACCCATCCAGCTACCAGCTGGAGGAGGCTGCAGAGACAGGTTCAGATTTCCTGATGTTGTCACCTATTTTTTTTCTTGTTAATTTAAAAATATCACAGTGTTTTAATTGCACTCAATTTAATGTACTATACCTGCCAGTTCCAACACACTTCATTATTTATATTGCTGGAAAAGCACTTAAA